TCAGGAATTAACATACAGTTGGTAATAAAAAATCTAATTTACCTATTGTTATTATCAGGAATTAAATCCATTTCATTTGCATGCTTCTGTTAAACTGTTGTATTGCACGGGTGCTGTGCATGTCATGAAACAGCAATCTGATTCAGTACAGGTGGCTAGGTTTCAAGGATTAATTTTACTGTGTGTGTGTGTGTGTGTGTGTGTGCATATTCCCTGCTGTTAATCGCTATATACAGGTGGAGAGCTAGAGCAATTGATCTACTCACGGTATGATAGAAATGTGAGTGAGTCATAAGTTTAAAGAAAATTGTGTTACTTATCCACCTATAGCTGTAGACCCCCTATAACCCACTGTGCTATTGTTTAAGGCTTTGGGCTGCTTATCAGAATGTCATGGATTCAAGCCTTGGCATAGTCAAGCTGCCAAAACTGGACTCTTGACCAAGGCTCTCATCCCTCTCTGCTCCAGGGGTGCTGTATTATGGCTGACCCTACACTCTGACCCCAGTTTCCTAACGACCTAGGACATATGAAGAAAAGAATTTCACTGTACTGTACTTGAATATGTGACAACAGAGGTTTTTTCTTCCTCTTACAGTATCTAGTAAGGTCTCTTATCTTTTATAGATTTTTGTGCGGATTCTGTTTTTTTCCCCATTGTTTTTGCTTCCTAGTTATTCCATTGCTGTTATTGGATTTATTATTATTATTGACTTGCTCAAATCTTTCACTATATTCTTCAACTATACACTGCTATATGTACGCTGCTAGAACATCAAGTACCTGGATTCCTATAGGATAGTGACATCTGAAGAGGTAAGCAGGCTCCCATATATTTACTTTTACCTAAGTAACTTTTAGACATTTCACTCTTACATTATATATATTTTGTTTGACTATTCTTTCTGATATATCTTTTTATTGCTGAATTCCAAATAGCATTTTATGGGGCATATAATGCACTGAGTAGGTTCTAACATGCAAATGTATTGTATTGTATTCTATTCTATTCTATGTATTTGAGGTTTTTTTTTTATTCTTACATGAAGATGTCAAAGATGGTTGATGTCTGTGGATCTGTGTGTAAATATACAGTACTTGAATCTGAAACAAATCCTTTTTTTCAGGACTAACTAAATAATTAAAACTCAAAATAAATTAAAACTCAATTTTAAAGCAACTGGACACTCCTAGCCTATCATAATGCTGTAACATGAGTTTTTATCTCAATTTATTTTCTTTGATTTTTTAAAAATATTTCAATCAAGTTATCACTGCTCAGGATCTCTGTGCTCAAGATCTCACTGCTTGCTCAGAAATGGAAATGAATCCTGTGTAACTAGTAATAACATGCTACTTGAATAGTTTAATTACCAGATATTCTCTCATCCTTACTCATATTGTTATGTGGATGACTTTTTTATGATTTATTATTTTTTTAAGTAACTGAGTAAGATTTTTCTACCCACATTTTGCAGTAAATAGAAGCCACACATTACCTCATTATCCTGAACTGCATGAGAACAATTTACATAGGAAATATTATTATAATATAAAATATTATATTATAAAATATAAAATACTATTACAATATAATAATATTTAATATATAATAAAATTACTATATAATTATAATATAATAATACAATGATATTATTTTAAATCTTCCAATATATGCCCTAAACCTTTTCTCTTAATTTGTAGTGTAGAATTCTTGCTTTTCCAAAATTACTAAAATTTTTACAGCAACTTCAGACAACATTGCTCCTTTTTCTAGTTAAAACTGGCTGTGACTGATGAGTGCGTTCAGTGCTTTATAA